CTGAATCTATCGCGCTTTCATTTCCCCTCTCCTAAGTTATTTTGTTTTGCATGTTTGCGCTCAGTGAGCAGTCTTGTTTCCTTCAAAAAAGACATATTATTTATTTATTATTATTATTTATTAACCATATTTATATACTGCCTTTCTCAGCTCACGGCAGTTTACAAATGGCGCAATTTGATGCCTACAATAACATAAAAACAATTAAAACATTTAGCATAAATAACATTTGATATAATAAAATAAAACCGATAAAAGTGTAAATACTCAGTGTCTCATTACTAAAATCATTACTCAATCACATTGTCCAGTCATTCTGAAGATCAGAGTTTGTCTGCTACACTGCATTTAGGAAAGCTTGCTCAAGAAGTCAGGTATCCCTTATCTGGAATTCCAAGATACATGCAGTCCCCAAGTTACGAACAAGAAAGTTTCGGTAGGTTTGTTCTTAAGCTGAATTTGTATGTAAGTCAGAACAGGTTCATTTGAAAAGTGTAACTCCACCCCCACCCCCTCAACAGGGATAGCATAAGGAAGGGTTAACACTCATGTGGTTCAGTTTTGCTGTCTATGCCCCTGTTCAGAGGATTTCACTTCACTTTCTATCCCTGTGATATTTGGATTTTTTTTGTGGAAACAAGGATTGGTGAGAAAGCTTCAGTGGAGACACTTTTTCCCTATGATAACTGTTCTAGTCAGCCATGTAGCCGGGGGGGGGGGGGGGGGGGGGCTTCAGAATTCTCATGATGGTCCACAAGAAGGCCTTACTGGTGCATTATTTAAACTGTTATTTTTATTCATATCATGATCTGATCACCATACTCAATATATCCCATATGCATGGGGGTATTGGGGTAATGATAAAAAGGTTTGCTAGGGTAGACCCTCTTTCACTCAGACTCAGCCCCCCCCTCCCCCGAATCGAAAATCCTGGCTACGGGCCTGGTTCCAGTCAGATGTTTGTAACTTGGTGGCTGCCTATACTGCAGTATCTAGAATTATTTACATGAATGATCACCATAGTGACACCTTTGTTTTCTAAAAAAGTACACAAATTTAAGTTTCCTGTACAAAATTATTCAAAATATTGTGTGTAAATTTACCTTTAGGCTACATGTAAAAGGTGTATATAAAGCATAGATGAATTTCATGTTTAGACTTGAGTTCCAATTCCAAGATATCTCATTATGTATATGTAAGTATTCCAAATCCCACCAAACCCAAAAATAGAACACTTCTGTCCCCAAACATTTTGTATAAGTGATGCTCAGATTTAGAATTATGCCGCTTCTCTAAATGTTACTGAAATGTCATTCCCATCAGTTTTAACTAGTAATGCCAATAAGGACAAATAGTAAAGATGGCTGTGATGTGCTTTTTGCAAACTGTAATTCCAATGAAAGTCAGGGTAAATCCAGAATTAGAATTAGGTACTCTGTCATGAAGAATAATGACAGAAATGGAAATACCGAAGAGAAATGTACTGTATGATATTTGTGTGTGAGAGAGTGTTCTTACAAAGAGAAATGGAAAAGACTTCTGAATACTCAGAAAGATTTTACATTAATGTATGGACATAGTTCAGTTCCTGAGCCTGCTTTAAAATATTGTAGACTAAACATGTAAAATAATCTCTCTAACTCTTTAATAACATTTTCCAAGGTGGTACTTGGACTTTGATGTTTAATCCCATTAATTAACAGTAGAGCAAACCTTGCCACCAATTTTCTCTGAAGACACTGGCAGAGAACACACATAGAATTTTTGTAATCGTTTCAGAAATATTCAATATCAGGGAAACTATAAGAATTTTCCAACTTTGCCAACTATCTGGTTGGAGTGACTGACAGAACAGAAAAAGTTACATTTATCTTAAAGATCAATAAGCAGGTCAACAATCTGGTTGATTTGCTGTTGATCTGCCTTTTTGCAAATCTAAATAAATTACTCCTACTGAACATTTAGTCCTGGTATTTCATCATTCATATCATGTAGATTTACTTCTATTTTGCTATGAATTGTTCACATTCTATTTATCAATGTCAGAGCTTGAAGAAACATTACTTTTCTGGCTACAATTCCCAGATTCTCCCAGTTAGCATGGGAGCTTCTGGATACATATGAATAAAACCTAGACCAGTCCATGAAATTTCAGAACACATCATTGCCATTTTGAAATCTGTATCAAGAAAGTGAACATAAATTGGGGTGAAAAGACCAAATGTTTCTGCATTTTTCCTCTTTGCATAGGTAAATAACAGTGGATCAGTGGTATAGAGAGACCCATCCACATATACTGGGTCTAAAGAGGCTTAAGATCAGAGGTCCTCAAATTAAGGCCCGAGGGCTGGATACGGCCCTCCAAGGTCATTTACCCGGCCTTCGCTCAGGGTCAACCTAAGTCTGAAACAACTTGAAAGCTCACAACAACAACAACAACAACAATCCTGTCTCATCAGCCAAAAGCAGGCCTACAATTCCCAATGAAATACTAATTTTATATTTGTTAAAATTGTTCTTCATTTTAATTATTGTATTGTTTTTAAGTGTTTTTGCACTACAATAAGATATATGCAGTGTGCATAGGAATTCATTCATTTTTTTTTTCAAATTATAATCCAGCCCTCCAACAGTTTGAGGGACTATGACCTGGCCCTCTGTTTAAAAAATTTGAGGACCCCTACTTTAGATACTATTTTTCTGATCTTTAATCACCTCCTTGGGTTTCTCTCCAAGAAGAATGCAGGATGTTCTCCAAAATTTCCTTTGAAAAGTCCTGTTTGAGAACTAGAAAATTTGGAAAACATACACTGAATGCCTGAAACTTCAACTCTTTTCAGGAAGACTCGATCTGCACTGGATGAGACTCAAGGCTCTCGGATGATATTACTTTAGTTCCCTTCTTTGAAACAGCAGAGCCAGCATGGTGTTGTGGTTTGAGCATTGGGCAATGACCATGGTTCAAATTCCCATTCAGTCATGGAAACCCACTGGGTGACCTTGGGTATGTGATGCTTTCTTAGACAAACCCTCACTGCAAAATAAGCCAATATCTAATCCCATTAAAAATTGAGTTACTGAATTGAATGGGAATGTACTAAGTCAACACTTAAGTAAATTCTGTTGATTTTATTTATATATTCTACTAGGCTGGCAAATGGATTTAGGCCAAAACACCGATCTACCCTACAAAATTGTTATAGCCAACAGTTGTGTATTCACTCATCAGGAAACTATGACCAGCAAGCAAAAGCTTCTTATCATTCATAAGGTATCTTGGCAAAAAATCAATACAGGGTGCAATATATGATCAATGTGGTACAATCCTCAAAACAGCAGTAAGTCCAAGTGAATTCTGCCTGTTCAAGCATATCTTTGATGCCTTGATGATGATGATGATGATGATGATGATGATGATGATGATGATTATTATTATTATTATTATTATTATGGGAAAATAAACTAAATGCTTGAGGACTTGGCAATTTTTGTTCTAAACTATGGGATAGAAATGCAATTCTACAAAGCTAAATCATACTAGGAATTATGAAAAAGCCATCTTTATTTTATCAGGCTGACTTTATCTCTCAAAAGATAATCAAAATAACATTATTGTAATTTGTGTTGCTCTCCCCTCAGTGAATATACATCTCCTGTGAACTAAACAACATTGCAAAAGGTCATGCTATTGATTTTCTTACTATAAAACACTTAACTGCACTGTTGTTTACGGAACTATCAATTCAGGTGACAGCCTGACATATATGGATGCTGCACAAATAGGACTTTATTAAAAGGAGCTTAACTTTGGACAAAGTCACATTATGTCCCATGAAACTAAAGTATAAAACCTCTTACAGAATGGCATGGATTTATCTCCCTGAACTGCAATTCCACATGTTTATTTGCTTCCATCCATTATACTTCGGAATTCTTCAAAATGCTCTCATGTTATTCTTCAGTAAAATACTGAACAGAAATATTGGACTTAATCCCTTCCCCTATTGGCATTCCGTTTGATTTGTGTGTCCTCTTATTTAGATTGTAAGCGAGAGGGCAGGGAACTGTCAAATTAATAATTTCTAAGCCTCTCTGAGAGTGTTTGTAGTCGGGGAGCATAGTATACTCTAAATATGTATCAATAAGTATTTATTGAAGGAGTAGGAGAGATTTCTGCCTACCTTCCCCAAAGAAGAAAACATTTCTATTGTGTAAAAAATGTGGTACTGTCCTTGCAAGCAATATTCATATCATGATTAAAAATGCAAAAGGGAGGGAACCTTTTTTCGTTTCAGAAGGGGCTTGAGAAACTGCAAGTCGCTTCTGGTGTGAGAAAATTGGCCGTCTGCAAGGATGTTGCTCAGGGGATGCCCGGATGTTTTACTATCCTGTGGGAGGCTTCTCTCATGTCCCAGATAAGAAGTTGGAGCTGAAAGACGGGAGCTCACCCTGCTCCCTGGATTCAAACCGCCGACCTTTCGGTCAGCAGTCCCGCCAGTGCAAGAGTTTAATCCACTGTGCCATCATGGCTGCTTAGAACCACATCAGAATATGCACTGTACTATTCTTGCTTTAGCTGAAAGATTTAATCTGGAATTCTGGACTTGTCAAAATAGTATTAATAGCCCAGGATATTGTAGTGATGGCTCTCAATGGCATTGGTTACTTGATCCAGAACCACTCTGCAGGGTCTTAAATAGGAAAAATAAAAAGAAATTCCTTTCTCCTACCAATGAAAGATGATGTCCTTATGGTATAATTGAAGGGTTCTTTATCCTCTCAGATGATGGGGGACTATAACTCCCAGTATCTATGACCGGTGGCCATGTCGGCAGGCACTGCAAGAAGATGTAGTTCAACAATATTTGGAGGACTATAGGTATTCCAATATTGTTTTACTCTGAAAGTGTATGAAAAGGCACCAGGATCGAACTTCTTGTTTACATGTGATTGGAAATTTAAGCTACATTAGTTGATGTAAGTACAACATTATTTCTTACCTTTTCTGATTCATTCGGAGTTCTCTGTGGAGGTCTTGATGATTTCGGGATGTTTTTATTGGATTAATTAGTTTCTGAGGTCTAATTAATTCAGGATTGTCCTCATCTATATAATCTGGTTCTGCCATGATACTTCTTGGAATAAAAGGAGGCTCTCTGAATTCAGAATCCACAATCAAGATATCTGTAATACAGAAAACATTCCTGTTCAGTTTTGCGGAACAACAGAAAAATGTTATCCAAATATCTGCTAACACTGGTACACTGTAGGCATATGTTGATCAGAGCAGAAACAAAGCATAAATAATTATTTTTTAAAGTTAGCATAAATTCCTTAATAACAATAACAATAATAATAATAATAATAATAAATCTTTATTTATACCCCACTACCATCTCCTGCAGGACTCGGTGCGGCTTACAAGAGGCCGAGCCCAAATACATCATAAAACATAACAACAACAAACAACAATAAATTCTAGCTACCATGCTCTTAAATATACAGATTAGTATTCCAGGTTCATATGGAGATGCTTCCTTCTTACAATACTGCCAGTCCCTGGGTTATGAACAAAATATGTTCTGTAGGATTGTTCTTAAGTTGAATTTGTATGTAAGTCAGAACAGGTACATTTTTAAGTGTAACTGTTCATTTTTTAGTTTCAGATAGCATAGAGTAACACCCCTGTAATGTTTGCTTTGCTGTCTGTGCTCCTGTTCAGAAGATTTCACCTCACTTTCTGTCCCTGTGACAACTCGATTTGGAAAATTTTGGGTTGATGTGGAAATAAGAACTGGTGATAAGGTGTCAGTGAGGCATCATTCTTCCTTACAGCAGTGAATTTCTGTTCATTGAGGTAGATTTCCTCTCACCCTATTTGTAACAAGGAGCTGGATGTTTGTAACTGAGGACTACTTGGACATAATAAAAACACCTAACCTTGACTCTTGGACTCTTGGTCTGTTTATGGCCCTCTTCAAATCTTGTACTGGAGTATGGCAGATATACGGACTGTATATATGTGTGTTAGAGAAAGATTCCCCAATATCAATAAGCCTAGTGAACAGGACCTTCTGCAATTTCTACAAGATACCAATTGCATACTTTTGTACAATATTATTATTATTATTATTATTATTGTATTATTATTATTATTATCTTTATTTGTACCCCGCTAACATCTCCCGAAGGTGCGGCTTACAAAGGCCAAGGCCCTCAATAAAACAACAGCATAATAAATACAACAATAAAACTCATAAAGCAAACCAATAAACATTAAAGCAATAACAATAAAACAATTAAAACAATACATCATGACACATTTAAAACTAGGGCTGGGTCAAATTAAAAGTGCTGGACATGACAGGTGAAATGTAAGGATTTTAGGGTAGGTACAATCTTAAATCTCTAGTAAAGTGCATTTGGGACATGACGCTGGGAGTTTCCTATTCTGGAAAGGCACACTGGAACAGCCAGGTCTTCAAGCTCTTCCTAAAGACTGCCAACGTTGGGGCTTGTCTGATGTCCTTGGGAGAGAGTTCCAGAGTCGGGGGGCTACCACAGAGAAGGCCCTGTCCCTCGTCCCCACCAAACGCGCTTGCGACGCAGGTGGGATCGTGAGCAGGGCCTCTCCAGATGAATGGAGGGATCGTGTGGGTTCATATACGGAGATGCGGTCACGCAGGTAGGCGGGTCCCAAACCGTTTAGGGCTTTGTAGGTGAGCACCTGCACCTTGAATTGGGACCGGAAAATGAACGGCAGCCAATGGAGCTCCTTAAACAGGAGGGTTGACCTCTCTCTGTAAGGAGCACCAGTTAACAACCTGGCCGCCGCCCGTTGGACCAGTTGGAATTTCCGAGCCGTTTTCAAGGGCAGCCCCACTTAGAGCGCATTACAGTAGTCCAATCTAGAGGTGACCAAGGCATGGACCACCCCGGCCAGATCAGCCTTTATGAGGCACGGTCGCAGTTGGTGCACGAGTCTCAATTGTGCAAAAGCCCTCCCGGCCACTGCCCACTTTGATAATTTTTCTTCACATAATACATGCTATCAAATCACTTGACACAGAAAAAAATTTACTCAAATGTACCTTCATGTCAGACCTGCATATTAGCCACAGGAATTACTACTACTAATATGACTCCTCCTACTGCTACTACATTTATTATATCCTGCCTTTTTTCCTGTGTGGGACTCAAGGCAGCTTAAAGCAACATAGTTGAAAATTCACAGGATAAAAATGTTGAAAAGCAATTACACTGTCATAAAAATAAAATTCATTCATAACGTAAGATTATTAAAAACAACAACATATAGAACACAATTATACGTTTAAAAAAGCAATTTCTCATGGTCCTGTTGGAATAAAATGGGTTTTACCTGCTTGCAGAAAGATAAGAAGGGGAGTACCAGTCTAGCTTCTCTGGGAAATGGGTTCCAGAGCCTGAGAGCAGCCCTTTGAAAAACTTTGTCTTGTGTTCCCACCAAATGTATCTTTTAGAATGGTGGGACAGAAAGAAGGGCCTCCTCCAAAGATCTCAAAACCCGAGCAGGTTCACATGGGAGAATATATTTTTCAAATGATCTGGACCTTTTGTCCTTTTATAAGGAGTTGTACTCTCTGTAGTTTTGTCTCTAATTGGCTGCTATCACTGCACAAAATCACCCTGGGCTGTTTGGAAGGCCGATTCACACCCAGAACCTTCCCTATGAGAGTTGGTGGACTAGTTCATCCAACTTTGAGCTCTGAGCTGGCTGGGAAAATTCTTTCAAGAAGAAAAAAAGATATTGCCTTCCACACCTTATGCTCCAATTCATTATTTGTAAAATAAGCCAGTTAAGGACACCAGGAAGGCCTCTCTGTTCCAAATAAATCCTGAAAAGGTTACCAGAAATATCCCAAAATTGGCAATACTCCTCTGAAGTAAAACATAGATGCTATTGGATGTTGAAGCAAAACACAGAATCCAATAGGTTCTGTGTTTTGCTTCAGAAGGAGTATCACCAATTTTGGGGACTTCTAGGAACATGATCCTTTTTATTTTCATTATAAACAAAAATGTTAACAGTCACTGACAAAGACTGGGAAAAGGGGGAGAGGGCCTGCATGCAGGATTGCTCTAGATCAGGGGTCCTCAAACTAAGGTCTGAGGGTCAGATATGGCCCTCCAAGCTCATTTACCCAGCCCTCGCTCAAGGTCAACCTGTTAGAGACCCTAAATTGAGTCTTCTTAGGTCCACATCACAGGAACACGTAAGGAAGGAGACAGTCCCAAAAAAGATTTTAAAAAACAACGTTTATTTTAGTTTCTTCATGAAGAAGACGGATAGCCTGGCAGCATACGCAGATGCTACCCTTCAAGTGACTGCCATGCCCCTCCTCTTTTTCTGCTGACTTTTATACCCAAGTAATAAGTCATGGAAAGTACTCTCTTTCCAGCCCCTCTCCCTTGACCTTTTGATGGAAAGTACCTTCTTGTACCTGCAGACTCTGCGCTTAACCACAACCTTTGAACTTAACCACAACACAACTTCCGACCTCTACATGTCACATCTTGTTTCTTAAAAACATGTTCTTCCCTGTTGCTCATTTTCTACAGAGAAAAGGTATATTTCTCTTTTGCTGTTAATTTCATTCAAAGCCCCTTGCTTAGCATTTGCAAATTCACCTAAATACCCTTTCAAACCTAAGTCTGAAATGACTTGAAAGCACACAACAACAATCCTATCTCATCAGCCAAAAGCAGGCCCAGACTTCCCATTGAAATACTAAGTAGTTTATATTTGTTAAAATTGTTCTCCATTTTAATTATTGTATTGTTTTAAGTGTTTTTTCCCCACTACAAATAAGATATGTACAGTGTGCATAAGAATTCATTCATGGTTTTTTTTTTCAAATTATAATCCAGCCCTCCAACAGTTTGAGGTCCTCTGTTTAAAATGTTTGAGGACCCCTGCTCTAGATATTCACATTATGCCAACAGGTTTGTGTATGCTACGTATGAGATGAAAGAAAAACCTGCTGGAAAACTATCTAGACAAGGGAAATGGGGATGTTTTCCCATAACATTAAATTGCATAATTACTGGGCCAAGTTGATTTGTTTCAAGGCATGTTCATATGTCAATTTGTTCACTACCATCCAAAAGAGAAAAAAAATGCTTATTTTGTTCATGTTTTTCTCTTAAGATTGTAACACACTGTCACAAAATGTCCACAGCCTTGAGCACTTTGACAGAAAAGCAGTATATATTGTTAATGTAGTAAGTGACCAAATAGACTTTGGAAACTCATTCTGCATCCAGAATTTGCATTGCACACAAGACAAAGCATACAAGATTAAAAAGAAATACTACCCCATTATATTGTTGCTTATAACAGTATCAGGCAGAGTGGACAACGGCAGCAGCTTTGTCAGACAGAACGACTAGGTCAAATCCCCCCCCCCCCAAAAGTACACATATGGTTTCTATATCCAGAAATTCCATCTTATTTTTAGGTTTGCTCCATGGTCCCTAAAGAACTTCAAAAGACAGGAGTATTAGTCTCTGGGAGAGTGAATTTACAAAGCTAAACAATACCAATTAAACATTTTGCTCCAAATGCCTTAGAGGTACATCTCAAAAACCTTGAAATTTTAAATTGTTGGTTGGTCTGCTATGTCTCCACTCTCATATTATGTGACCCTATATTTTACCATCATAAAAACAAAATCGTTGAGGCACAAAACTAGTAGACTTTGCCCTCTACACAACATGGAGATAGGTATTTCAAAAGGAAAATACAGTGCCCTAGACATGGCTTTCCAAGATAGTTCAACTACAGATAGACATATTTAAAGAAAATACTAACCTGTCTCACTTGGCAAACAGAGCAGTTTAAGGTTTCAGACATTTCTATACAAATTGCTGCAACTCAAAAGGATTTATATTTAAAAAATCACTTTTAGCAGATAGTTTGTACCCAGTGCCAGTTTCATTTATAGCTGTTTAAGGAATGTAAATAGCGAGCCATTGGTTCAGATTAATTATTAAGCTAGAAAAACATTTCTTTCCATGCAAATAGACTTAGAGAGAAAGGCCTGGTGGAAAATCTTTGTGGAAACTGCTGTTTTAAGATAGTTTGCAGGTGGGGGTTCTTGAAACATTCTTCTTTTTCTTTTCCTTGCAGGTGTGTAGGGAAT